TGATGTCAAACCTTCTAATTGTGGACAAGGAATTTTATTTGAACTTAAATGGACGTGATCTAGAAAATAATAACAGACAAAGAATGTGGGCGACTGTGGCTCAGGTGACAGAGTGCATTGTCCACTAAGGGAAAGGTTGGTGGTTCGATCCCAAGCCCTTGGGCAGGACACTGAAAACGAAGTTGCTCCCTCCACTGGCAGGCATTGGTGTGTGTGTGTAAATGGGTGAGTGGGAATCGCATTGCAAAGTGCTTTAAGTTCCACTGAGGTAGAAAAGCCCTATATAAGCATTATATAAGCAGATATTTGATCTCTCTGATGATCTATATATCTTCCACATGGCATGGATTTATATAAAACCAATATTAACAGCAGTTCTGGGCATTTTAAGGCTTACAGCGTATTAACACAAGTTGTTTCTTTTAGCTTTCTTTGACAGAAAAGTTTTCTTTCTTTACATTTTCATTCATTGTCTCATAAATTCCTCTTCTAATTTGACTTTCAGAGCACCAGTTGTAGCATCAGAGTAATTCCCCTGGAAATAAAGAGATTATTCTGAACATTAGCTTCCATGTAATAAAATATCAACAGAGGATGAGTAAGCCCAGCGTTACACTTGATGAAGCGGTAAGCCGGTTGTACGGTGAATTTTTCCTGTGCTCATTGCTTTTTTTTACATAATAATACCTGCAGGGGCATTCGGACGACAGATGTGAGCTTTGAGTAAAAGCCGTCTCCCCTGAGGTAGCGTTGCTCAACATTTTGTGCATTTTATAACAAAAACTAAACGATTATGTAAAAGTATGCAATGCTATTTAAAAGGTTACGGATAGATTTGGAGCTTCTTAATCTGGTTTTGTAAAGGTAGAGGATGGACACTTCAAGATTACGTCCTGTGTTTGAAGTCAGAGAATTGGTTTTTCAGCTTTTACTGCAGTGAAAAAATACAATAAATGTGTAATAACTGTCTTTTAAATCACGATCGCTGCTGGCACAGAGCGCTGCAGGATTACAATCAGCTGTGCGTCACTTTGTTTGAGTCATACGTAAACAATCACCTCTGATTACTGCAGATTAATGTTGATGCTGGTGACAATATCTAACAGAACATAGCTGCTGTATATCTCTACAACACACTCCAACACAAGACAGCTTTGATAAAACACCTTAAATAAGGTCCTTCAACCATAATGACCAAACAGTTCATTTGTCTCTGTGCTCTGAAACAGCTTGATTATTTAGGGAAAGATCATCGTTTGGGGAGCTGTCGTTGGTGCAATATGTGGTTAAGATTATGGAAAAACAGGCGACTGTGTGATGTTCTGTTGGTCCATCCACTCATGCATTATTGTGGGTTTGGGTCTTTTTTTTATAGCTATAACATCAGTCCATTTAATTGCCTTCACTTGCTGAGGTTTTGGCAGCAGATGGTGTAGTAATCAGGCCTGAGACTATTATAGTGAAGACAGATAATCTTACCTCATAGTGGACGAGCGATCAACACCATGCGGGGCTGTGACGACCCCCAGCGTCCGGCATGCCTCGTCTCAAAATAAACTCAGAAAAAAAATCAAGCCCCATCATGTTTATTCACTAGAAACTGGCTGTTTTCATAGAGGTTGCAGTGAAAAATGAGCCTACGGTGAGTTAAAATGTGTCAGGAGCGCCCAGACACTGCTCGGATTCAAAGGGTTAAAGAGTGTTCATTAAATACCGATGAGATCAAGCTGCAGTTGTTTAACAGCCGGGCTTGTGGTTCGGTTTTAAAACACTCCAAAATGACACGAAGGGGTCTCCCAGATGTTGAGCTTTAAAGTGAGAGCCACCTGCTGCATTTAATCCCACCGATTATACCGCCAGAGTTTAACTGCGTCTTCAAAAAAAGGTGTCATAGCAGTGTGACGCGGTTATCCCCTTAATCTTAAAGACAGCTGTCTGGATTTAGGCAGTGATGACCATAATCCCATTTGACACCTGAACGGGCTTCGGTTTGAAGACAGAGTGACACAAACTGCAGAGGTTTTACGCCCAAACGGAGGAGGAGAAGAAGAAGACGACGAAGAAAAAGGGGAAAAGATTCAAGTTTCTGAGCAGGATGGGGAACACGAAGAGCAGCGCTTTGTCGAAGGAGCTCCTGGAAGAACTGAAATCCAACACCAAGTACTCCGAGGCCGAGCTCTGCACCTGGTACCAGTCCTTCCTGAAGGAGTGTCCGGGCGGGAAGATCAGCAAGCAGCAGTTTGAAGGCATCTATGCCAGCTTCTTCCCCGACGCCGACCCCACGGCGTACGCGCGACATGTGTTCAGGAGTTTTGACACCAACGCAGACGGCACTTTGGACTTTAAGGAGTACATCGTCGCTCTGCATCTCACCTCCGGAGGAAAGACTCTGCAGAAGTTGGAGTGGGCTTTTGCCCTCTATGACGTGGACGGGAACGGAACCATCAGCAAGAGTGAAATCGAAGAGATCGTTAGGGTACTTCTGCTTTATTCTTAAATGCTTGGATAACAGTATCAGCTATTTAGAAATGTATATCATCCCTGCAGTAATGAATACCTTCTTATTTTCATTGGTTTTAAAGCCTTCCACAACTTTAACTTTAAAAAAACAGATGGTGTTATTGTGCTTAAGTGATTTATTTGCTACTTGGTGGATGATTCATTACCTCTTGTTTTGCTGTTTACACTTTGCACGTTTTCTCTACTGAAAAAACATCGACTTTGTTCAGTGGCTGAGCTAATGAGCAGCAGGCAATTAGGTTTGTGTCATGGTTTTTAATCCCTACTAATGGATTATTTAGCTAAACAATCCATCCACTGAATATTTCCTTCAATAATCATTCAGCCTGGACAATTAGTGTTAATTGCTTATCATAATTTCCCAGATTTAATTCTTAAACAGCTTGTTTGACACTCTAAATGATTTAGTAATACAAAGCAAAGAAAAACATACCAGTTTGTAATTATCTGAGAAGCTCAAACAAGCAAATGTACGGCACTTAAATGATTAATTGCATATAAAACTGTCTAATAAGTAAATTTTAGACGGTTTCATCAGATATTAGGGCCACACTTTATATTCTTTTTATTCTCATTTGTCCTATGTGAATAATTCATGATTAAATTCAGAACTCAAACTGCTGAAAGACACCTTTAAATCCACTTACTTTCCCGCAGTCAATATTCAACATGATTCCTGTGGATGACCAGAAGAACCTCCCCGAGGATGAAAACACACCAGAGAAAAGGTCTGAAAAGATCTGGGAATTTTTCGGGAAGAAGGAAAACGGTAATTTTAATGAATTTCTTTTAAACAGCGTTCTAGAGAAGATTCACCTCACAAGCACCAGCACTTGTTGATGCTGTTCTCCATGTGTCACTGTTGTTGTTGCTTCACAGATAAAATCTCAGAGGGGGAATTCATTCAGGGTGTAATGGACAACAAGGACATCCTGCGCCTAATACAATACGATGAACCTCAGAAAATCAAAGACAAGCTGAAAGAGAAGAAGCAATAGTGTATGAGCTCAAAACGGGAGCAGAAGACGGAGCCCTTAAGACTGTTTGTATTTTCCTGTTTACATTTAACATGATCTGCTTGACCTGCATTGCTCTCTCTACATTTTATTTATGAATTAATGGTTGGACTGCTGTTTGGCTGATTGCCAAGTCAAACAGTGGTTAATTTTTGTCTTTGTACCCAGAAAGCAATGAAAAAATTACATTTGAGACAAGAAAGCAGAAGCCATGGGAAAGTCCATTTAAGCGTTATGACAGAAAACACATATACCTGCATAAAGTTTGGATCTCACACTTTGTTCTGACAGTGTTTTGTGTCTAGCCTGAGCTGACTTCATTCATCAGTTCATTCCTATTTCAGATTATTGGTGAATTAGTCTGTCTTACCATATACATGAAAAAAATAAACAAATCTAAATCATTATGGAGATAAAAACACAACCCTAGATACCGGCTAAATGCTAACTAGCCTTGCTAGCAGAGCTGTAGTATCTGGCTGTCCGCTGCTTTAAATTACATTTTCAAATGTCTTTGACTAAAGGTTTATTTATCAGACTTGATCATTAGTGCTAACAAATGGTTTGTTTCTTTTAGTTTGTCACAGTGTAATACCTTTGCCCAGGTGTGGACTGAAACATACATCATTATGCTGCTCTTGTAAAACACTGTAACTACATATTTGGCTTGGTCAGTATTTGACGTTTTGATGTCTTACCTTTTACCTGTGACGATGTATTTTCTGTGAAAACTGCATTAAAAGGTATAACTAAATAAACTAGTCTGGCTAATGCTAACTAGCCCAGCTAACTAGCCCTGCAGCCTGTGCAGCCTCTGACTCTATTGGTTAGCTCAGCTGTGAACTTTGTGGCTAAGCTAAAATTAAATTGTTACCAAAATTTCAATCTTAATTTTTGATGTCTTACCTTACAGTAATATACCTATAGATGTATATTTTTTGAGGAAAACGCCACAAAAAGTTAACAGGAGTGATAAAACTGGGGTAAAACCCAAACTGCTGTGACTGCACTCGTTGAGGCGAGCGAGCAAAAGCCTTAAGTAAAGCTAATTCACCTACTGTTTCCTGTCTCGTGAATTTGAAAAGTCAGTGTTGACACAGCAACAGTAATTTGGAATTGAATTTGCTAGACCACATACGTAATAAAATATAAATATATATATAAATATTAAGTCATAATGGACCAAAGCAGTAAGAATGGCTAAACTAGTCCAGCTAAACGCTAACTAGCCTTGCTAACCGAGTAACAGGAAGTGTTGTCTGTGTAGCTTTTATGATTTCATGGTCATGCTAACTTTAAATTGTTAAGCTAATATCAAAATGTTTGTAGGGCTACACGTTTTTTTTTGTTTGTTTGTCTATTTTTTTATGTGTAACCGAACAACAACTTATCTTTGAATGTATCTTTTGGGAAAACATCATGAAAAGCTAATAAGAATTAGAAAACAGAGATAAAAACCAAACTGCAGTGACTATACTGTGGCTAGTTAGGGCTAGCTAGTGAGAGCCAAAGATAATTCACCTACTGTTTCTGGTTTTGTGAATCAGAGAGGTCAATGTTGATGCTCCATAAACTTAGCAACTGAGTTTTTTTTTGTATCACATAAATGACACATTTAATAGCTGAATCTTATACTATAACGAGGAGTAACAGTTAGACAAAGCAAACTAGCAGCGTAGCAGTAACTGCTGTGTAAAAGCTCAGATGATTTAATGGCTAAGCTAACTTGAAACTGTAAATTAACACCCACTAAGTCGCTGCGACAAGCTAGATCAACGTAGCTTAACATTGCGCATAATGCTAACACTTTGTCAACATAGACTTGTTACACATTGTTAATGGGCTAGACCTCCGGAATTTAAGAAAACCAGGAACAACAAAGTAAACATACCTGCATGTTAAAGCAAAAACAGCTGCAACTTCTTACCTTTGAAGGCTCACCAAGTCTGATTTTGTTCATTCCTAGATTATTCATATTCCTTTGAGGGTCCACCGAGAATCAAAGGGGTTTTGTATAAACTTATTCCAAGTTGTGAATACTGTTCAGTCCATTGCTCTCTGTCTACCAAGTTTGTTTGTCAAGTAAAAAGTTTAAAACTATCTTCACTACTTTCAGCTCAGTGTTGGTGGGGATGCTTGTTTCCATTAATTTGCTGCCTACGAGATAAATCTGATATCTGATGATGGGATAATGTTTTATAGTAATTAAAATGCTTCGGTTTGGTTTATAGTGATTTAGACACTTTATTTTATTTTTTTTAAAGTGCTCGAATATCAATATATGAAGTGTCACACATGCATGTTGGCCTTCTTTTACAAGCTGTTTCAATTAGGTATTCATTTTGACTTTTTAATGTAAAAACGTACTTTGGAAGTTATATTATTATGCCTCTGAATGTGTCGTCTTTGAAAAAGGTAAATCAAGTGATCCTGCTAACTAGCCTGTCTCACAGCCTTTGCTGGATGATGCGGTTTTGCCTTTAAATCACTTGTTTAAATGAAAAAGCTCATTAGCAGCCGTGTCCTTTAGCTTGTCCAAACAGTGTAGTTTCTAAATCCTTCAGGTTGTAAAGTCTGACAGTGATTAACTTCTTCCAACTTGAAAATCTGTCCACTCTTGCTGTATTTGGCTTCAGACCTGACACCCGAGCGTGACCTCCCTCCACTCTCGGTGTGTTGACAGGCCAATTTACTCTCTCATACCTGGCAGGTTTTTTCACACTCGGATTCATTCATTAGGTTGATAGCGAGAAAGTCGGGACGAGAGCTCCTTATGAAGGGAATTAGGCTCAGGTTAACAATCCGTCTGTATCAGCCAATCCTATTAGGAGCTGAAGGTCAGTTGAGACAAACAACCTCCTTACTGGAGCGTCTGGTTCAGACACTGTGGGCTGAACAATACATCGCTTTAACAGGCTCCTCTGGAATGAATGTAGACCTCACAAAGGACAACTTTTTTAATTTCTTAGTCCTAATAATAAAATATTATATATATAGATAGATAGTTGTAATCATGTAGTATGCAGTGACAGTGCATATTTACCTAAAACATTAGTTTTCTACAACATAAATAAATTACAAGGATAAACTGCTTTCTTGCTTACTCTGATCTGTTGGGTAACTTTTGAGCAAATTAATTTCATAAATCCTCTTTTTATTTTGAATAAACAGATTTAGCTGGTTTAGTTTTGGAACTAAATCTAATAATGATTTTTATTGTAAAATCCAACAAATTCATCACTATTTCAGTGACACTTGTGGTAGCTCCTAGTTTTGCGTAATAAGATATTTAACATGAAACAGTGCACAAACTGGGATAGTTGGCTTTAATCTACAGAAATAACCTTTTTTCCATTTAATAATATTAAGAAAACAACATACAAATCCATAAAAGTTAAATAATTGGGTTCTCTTTTGTTGCCATTTTGTGATGTCTTAAATTCAATTTCTACATTTTACATTCTGCTCCTGCCCGTTTCTTAAATCCCGCTATTTCCGTAGAGTTACACAACGACACGACGTGACATTTAATTTTCAAAGAGGAGATTTATTTTGGACACTGCATTCCTCAGTACACCGTCTGAACAGAGGTCACCTATGATCAAACATTCTTAAAACATCGGGAACATCGGATTGAATGAAAACGTTCACCACAGAAGGGCAGTTAACTCAACCGTTACGTCATCATGAATTCTGGTCAAGAACATTTAGTTGGAACATAATAACTGGCTACACTTAGTGCACAACATTGACACACACTGATAAAACCTCTACAACAGATACGCTATTTAAAACCTGCGCATTGGATTGAAAGCAAAGACTGGATGTACTGCGGTTCACCTGATTCGGAGAAAGATGATTTGACTTCATGTAGCACAAAACAAATTATCAGTGCGGGTTTTTGATAAGGCAGGTAAGCATTTGTTCTTTTTTTTTTCATAGCTTTTTTTTTTTGTGCCCTGCAGCTGGATTGAAGTTATTTAATTGTCTTTTTGAGAAATGGAAAAAGAACGGCAGGTAATAATCCAAATAAATCCAAACAGACCACAACAAAATGTGAGGACGACGACAGACGGACACACACATGTAAACACAGGCACGTACTGTACATGCAGTCTCGGATAAAATGTGTTTCGTCAGCTCGATCGATCGAATCTAAAAATGTGCTCTTTTCTTTTTTTTTCAATTTTGTGGCTTTCTGCTGCATGTCGACCCTTTTTTTACTGAACACCGCAGTGGAGATATTCTCTGTACATTTACCAAAAATAAAACAAACAACAGTGCAAACACCTCATCGGCCCGAACATCTGCGGCCTGTTAAAACATCTGACAGCAAAATACATCTAGCCAGTATGTACAAAATGTACACTGATGCAGAGAAGAATATATCAAGGACATTCCAGGTATATAACCGTTAGGCACTAAAAGGTGTTTCAGTGTAACTTGGACCACCTTTTTCCTCCGGACTGATCCACAATAGACCCTGGCCTAAAATCCCATCGACCACGTGTTTGGACTTGTGGCGAGCAAGATCAAATTCCAAAACACTGTGTGTCTTTGAACAATTGAGGTTACTGGATGTTAACGCTGTACACTTTAGTCGTTTGTGTGAGAAAGCTCCTAAATGAATGATCCAGAATACCTTTTGTAAATCCAGTGAACTACACCAACACAACCATCATGGTTCCACAAACTGTGCAGCTCTCCATATACAGTAAAAGCAAGATATTCAAAACATGCATTTCCACCAAAATGAACCAGCAAAATATGAAAATATATCATATTCATTCTAAGATCTCAATAAGCTTCGGTATCTAAAATAAAGGTAATATCAATAATCAGAGTTTTTTCTTCTTTTTTTTTTAGTTTGGTTTACTCGAACTGGAAAAGTGTTGATTGAAGCTAAACTAAACAATTCAAAATACATAGAATTTTTTTTTTGTTTTTAATAGTGTCAACTTTACAACAGGTAAACAGCAGAA